CATATCCTCAACTAACACAGAAAGTGCCCAAGATAATTGCTAATGATCTGTTCATGATACTCGTGTTGCCGGCAATGCTCTGCACATTTTATCTGTAGCAGGCAAGTCCTCCTGGGCAGCTCCAGTGACTACATATCCTATGAAGTTAAAGAGTTGCTTATCTGTGAACCAATGCAACTCCCTTAATCCTCAACAAGTCCAACGTGTCCCTAGTCACTGCAGTGTGGAGAACACAGGAAACACGTTCACGGATTGCTGTGTATAAAGTGCATTTGGCCGAGCTTTGCTGATGAGGTTCTGGCAAGGTGAAGTTGAAGGCAGAAATGACAGGAGTCAAGGAGTTGTGTTTCAGCAATCACTGAGCTGCAGCGCTGTGTCCCCTGTGGGAGAGTTTGCTGTATCTCTACATTGAGCTCTCCATGGGTTTCCCAACAGTAAATAAAACAATGCATCCCCCATTGACCTGTCATCACAAAGGGAATCAGAAGGATGCCCAGAGGGAGGATAGGAGAACACTCCAATTGGGTAATGTCAAAAAAGTTTTTATGGGGGCGAAACCAGGCCATTACATTGGAAAAGAAAAGTGATTTACAGAAACTTTTACCTGATATAGTGACCATTGCATTAACTCTCCAGAGGTGATTTAAGCCTCTGTGCTCTTGTTTGTGACACGAAACCAAGCGTCCCCTTTTCTTTCTGCTTGGGATAGTCCAAGTCTCTCTGCAGAGAACATTGTGGCCTGCAAGATTTTTGCAGTCTTGCTGTTAAGTCTGTTATGGAAAGAATCAGACACCTGTAGATTTTTACTTCAATCTCTACAAACTGAAAACTTATGATTTTACAGTTCTGAAACCATTGTTGTAATGGCCTCACTTTTAACTCAACATGCTCCACATTTGGAGGTTGGATCACCCTTGTAAAAACAGTTGCCAGTTGCTGCAGCATTCACTTTGTTGATGTTAGATAACCCAAGGCATCAATTCTTGAATTCTCTCCACTTGATCAGAAAAGAAATGGACAGTTTCAGCAATACTACGTCTATTTCTGAAAACATCAGTCACAGCGCTTGCCTGGCCACAAGTTCCTATTAGAATGGAGACTGAGGGGGGTCTCTTGCAACATGCAGTTCATTGAGGAGTTGGCTCAGCTGTAGCCTTGGATCTCTGCCTGAGTCAGCATTCACTCTGGACCCTGTGTTTTTCAGGCAGGCCCTTGGCAGTTTAAATTGAGCATGTGCACAACTGGTATTTTGTGCAAACATCTCCTGTCTTCTTGTTAGCATGATCCTCTACTTCCTGTAAGAGCAATACCAACTCCTTTCCCTCTGAGCCTAATGTAGCTGGGATAAGCCCAGCAATGATTCTCCCCAATCTCCTCCAAGTAATTCTAAGAGGCCATCATGATAAAAGGTGATGAAGGGATTAGAAAAATGAAGGTGGTGGGGATAGAAGCCAAAACAAGAAAACATGAGCTAACTCCTAGACTAAAAGAAAATGAGAGTACATCCTTGTGGGTTATGTTGCCCCTGGCAGTCCTGTCATTCCATAGTGGAGCATAGGTTCTAGTGCCATCTGCTCTATTTCTTATCCAGTTCCCTACTAATGCACATGGGGAAGTAGGCTAAGGTGGCTAAAGTACATGGGCCCCTGCCACCCACATGGGAGACTGGATGAAGTTCCTGGCTCTCAGCTTCACCCTGGCCCATCCTGTCCATTGAGTCCATCTAGGAAGAGAACAAATCGATAGAAGATCTCTCTCTCTCTCTCTCTCTCTCTGCCTTTCAACTAAAACACAAATAGGTCTTTTTTAAAAACAGTAAAAGGGAGTACTCCTCTCCTTACCTCCTCTTCATGACTGTGAAAGCAAAAGGCTATAAGATGACTTCAGCTGCACTTGACCCATGCCAAATACCCATGGCAGAAAGGGACATGAACATGGGAATCTGTGGTATACATTATCTAGCTTAACATTTTTGATTCATATAATTTTTTCTTGCATTTGCTCAAGGACAAGTCCTCATGGCAGACGCTTAACTAGAATTATGTGGCTGTTCTTCTACCCAGAGCTGGATTTTTTCCTTCTTGCAAATTCACAAGAGGGTTCTCTGAGCACTAAACTGGTCTCATTATGTGGAAAGTGATTCCACAAAGGATATAATCTAAAGAACTCAGTGATTTGTTTTTTCTGGGGTGAGGGCGTAGGAAAAAGGAGGTAAGATGAAATTGTAGGAGATATGGGGTCTCTTTATTCTTTTTTTTTTTTAAAGATTTATTTATTTTTATTGCAAAGTCGGATATGCAAAGAGGAGGAGAGACAGAGAGGAAGATCTTTCATCTAATGATTCACTCCCCAAGTGACCGCAACGGCCGGTGCTGTGCCGATCTGAAGCCAGGATCCAGGAACTTCTTCCAGGTCTCCAACACAGGTGCAGGGTCCCAAGGCTTTGGGCCGTCCTCGACTGCTTTCCCAGGCCACAGGCAGGGAGCTGGATGGGAAGTACAGCTGCCAGGATTAGAACCGGCGCCCATATGGGATCCCAGGTGCGTTCAAGGTGAGGACTTTAGCCGCTAGGCCACGGTGCCGGCCCCGGGTCTCTTTATTCTTAAACATTTATTTATATTTGGAAAGGCACAATTCACAGTGAGTGAGAGAGAGAGAGAGACAGAGAGACGGAGAGAAATGGGTCATTGGTTTGTTCACTCCACCAGATAGCTGCAATGGCCAGAGCTTGACCAGACAGAAGCCAGGAGCTTCCTCCAGGTCTAACTCAGAAGTGGCAGAGTCCCAAGAATTTGGGTCATCTGCTGCTGCTTTCGCAGGCACATTAGCAGGGAGTTGGATCTTGAAGTACAGCAGCTGAAACATGAACCAACACCTACATGGCATGCTGGAGATGGCAGCTTTACCTGTTATGTTACAATGCCAGCCCCAAAATATGAGTTCTTTAATAAACATTTTCCATTAATTAGGATAATGAAAGTTATATTGCCTTTATTATAGTCCTGTGCCAAGTCTGAAAAGTAATCCTACGCCAATTTGCTTGGAGAAGATACTCAAGAAAAACCATAATGTTCTAATACTCTTCTATAATACTATAATTTTTTGTTTACTTTAAAGTAGCAAATTTATTGCAAGCAGCAATCAAGAGCATAAAGAAAGGCACTTCTGAGTTAGATGCACAGCTCTACTCGAATTTAGCATAGGCAGTCCACATAGTTGCTGCCCAGTGGGGCCAATGTCTGACCTCCAGCCGCTTAGTCTAGTCCCTTGCTCTAGACTAGGATGTTGTGGTTGGGTGGTAGAACAATGCTTAGCCAACCTGTAATTAGGGCTTGTCAGCACCCAAGTTCTTCCTGTATATATTTGTTTCACTGTTTTATTTAAAACTGACACACACTATGTGTACATATATATGCATGTGATAATATGAAATAGGTACAAGAGCACTTAAGGGAGCTGGTGTGGTGGTGCATCGGGTTAAGCTGCCACCTGTGACACTGGCATCCCATAATGGAGTGCTGCTTCAAGTCCTGGCTGTCCTGCTTCTGATTCAACTCCCTGCCAATGTACCCAAGAAAGCAGCAGAGCAAAGCTGGAGCAATCGGGCTCCTGTCACCCATGTGGAAGACTCAGATGGAGTTCCTATCTCCTGGCTTCCACCTGGTGAGCCCCAGCCATGGTGGCCTTTTGGGGAGTGGACGAGTTGATAGAGCATCTCTCTTTTTCTTGACTTCTCCCTTTCTTTTTGACATTGATTTTCAAACAAATAAACAGATATTTAATAAATAAATTGATTTTTAAAAATAAAGAACAGAGTACTTTGAAAAGTTCACAGAAAATAGAAGTGAAGGGGAAGTTTATTTTGGTATGACAAATTTTCAAATCCCTAAAAAGTGTTTCAACAATACATAGTTTCTACGAACTTTCTGCAGTCCCCTCATACACTCCAGTATGAGCACCTTTGATTCTGAAGCAGGAACGACTTAGTTCATGGAGCACTGTGTATGTTTATCTATTAATTAACAAGTATTTGTTGAGCCGCCACCAGGAAAGTACAGTGATTAAAAAGTATGACTTTCAGAGATTGTCAGCTTAGTTTCACCTCTGTCACTTACAGGCCCTGTGCCCTTGGCAAGTTATAAATCCTTCTAAACCTCACTTTCCTCTTCTATAAAGAGGGACAGTAATAGTGTGTACTTTGTAGGACTTGGTGAGGTCAAATGAGATAATGTTTGTGAAGTCAGCCTGCAGAAAGTGCTTGTGGCTATTTGATTACGCAAACTGGCTTGAATGGACCATGAGCAAAAGACAACTTAATTCCTCCTCCCTGTCCTTGCTAATGACATCAAACAGGCTCTATAACGTTCCCTGTCACTCAGATCAAGTCTTCTGATCAAATTTGATGGTAAGAATTGCATGAATCTTGTCTGGCCAAATAAACTAACCTAGGCGCTTCACTGAATTCAGAACTTCTCTACAGCATGCCCCCTGCCAGGAAGTCCTAGTGGGAGGAAATCAAGGTGTCAGTTCCCTTTTGCCCTTCTAGCTCTGTGTCCTGCCCACTCAGTGGCTTTGGTGTCAGAGTTCTCCAAGGTCTAATGAAAAGGAGGTTACAGAAAAGGGCTTGATCCCTAGGCAGGCACAGGTGGACTACAGGCCTCTGGTGCCAGATGAGGTCAACAGATGTTCAAAGCTGGTTCTGTGTTGCTGCTAGGCAGGGCTTCTGAGCAGCCCCTGTACCCTGTCTGTAGGCCTGTGTCTGACACCAACAATGCACGCATTTCCCCCTGCCCCTCAGAGGGATCACTGTCAAGCTCTCCCAGGGCTCTTCCTAGTTCATTTTCCCTTGGCACATCCCTTAGCTCTTCTGTCCCACTGACATTAGGAAATGCTCCTTGTCCCCACTGCAGACCCAGAGAGATCAGGGCGCTGGGGGACGGGCTGGCCTCAGTTTCCTTGGGTATTTGCTCATTGTGTTCCCTTCCATCTCTTGTTTCTAGTGCCCTGGCTGGTGCTCAGTGAGATCTTTCCTGGTGGCATTAGAGGAAGAGCCATGGCATTAACTTCCAGCATGAACTGGGGCATCAATCTCCTCATCTCTCTGACATTTTTGACAGTAACTGGTAAGATCCTTCTGTTTCCCCCAAAACTCAATCAAGACAAGTGTCAGGACACACATGCACCTCGGCTGCAGTGAGTGATTTTACACACTCAGGACTTAAGAGAAAGGCAGGGAACCTGGTGCAGCCATCACCCAATTCAGGTGATTCTCAATACTCATTTATTCATGACCTCACCTGGGCTCCCCTGCCTATCAAGCTTTTTCAGGTTGTGTCCCACATGTAATGTCATTTGGTCAGTAAGATCTCAGCCGTGTCCTTTACAAAGTACAACACTCAGAGAAACATGGCCATAGCATCACGCTCATGCCGGGAAATAGTAATTATCACCCTTCGCAATCTAGTATCCATTGTGCCTTCAACCCTCCACTGCTCTTGTAATCATGCGTTATACTTTGAAATACGATTCATAAACATAATTCACAGTTGATGGCTGTGTCTCATAATTTGTAGGTCTCATGTCCTGCCCCTGCACTTTTACTGCAGAAACTGGGTCATTTGTTTCATAGAATTTTCCACAAGCTGGATGGTGTTGATTATGTTCAAGCCTCACTTCCCTTTGTCCTTGATGTTTCCTGTAAGTTGGGTTATGCATTACTGTGTATCATCTCTTTTACCAGTGAATATGCCTCCTGCCTCCACGGCAAGCAGCATAGGCCCACATCGTTTCCACCTTGCCCAGTTGGCCCCCTTGCGTGGTCATTCCCAGATCCATTTTTGTTTTGTGATTTCTTTTTGTTTTTGTTTTGGGATCATTTCTTCTACTACATTTCTTTAAAAATAATTTTTCCCCAATAGTTATTGATACCCTGCTCTGTGGACCACAGAAGAAAGTCAAGATAAGTGCATGAAATTCCATGTGATAGTCCCCCATCAGCTTCCAAAATGACCAATGAGTTGGGTTTTCTTTTTCTTAATATAATCTTGTAATGCATTGGGTTTTATTTTGTCCACATATATACAAAAGGTGCTACAAAGTGTCCATGGAAAAATGGAATTTAAAAGATAATTTTTGAAAGTTGTATATAATTTGTCATGAAAAAGTTCATGGCAATGTGAATTTAAAAATATTCATGGAGTTCAAAAAGTTTTTTTTAATAAACTTATCCTTTAATTCTGTTTTCCCTTTTTTCTTTTTTAAAAAAAGTTCATTCTTTATTGGAAATGTCACATAGTGAGAGAGAGTGAGAGATCTTTTTCCCATTGGCTCATCACCCAGATGGCAGCACAGGTCAGGATTGGCTCAGACAGGACTTTAGGAGCTTGGGATTTCTTATTTGGGACTCCCTCATGGATGGCAGGCACCCAAGTACTTTAGCCATTTTCTGCTGCCTTCTCAAATCTAAGAACAGGGAGCTGAATTAGTACTGGCACAACTAGGACTTTACAATTGATCTGATAGCAAATGTTGGTGGTGACTTAAGCCACTGCGCTGCAGAGCAGACCCTTAATTTCATTTTGTATGAAGTTTTAAAAGTATACAAACATATTTGGGCTGTGCGATATGGCTACAATCAATAAAATCCAGACTGGGGTTGGTGTTTTAGAGGGTTAAGCTACCTCCCATAGTGCTGACACGTTTGAATCCCAGCTGTTCCATTTCCAACCATCTCCCTAATAGGCCTGCAGAAGCAGGAAAAGATGGCCCAAGTTCTTGGGCCCTTACAGTCATTTGAGAGATTTGGGGGAAAAAAATTTCTTGTTCCTAGCTTTAAATCAGCCCAGCTCCAGCTGTTATAGCCATATTGGAATAAAACAGAAAATGAAAGATTTTTCTCTTTGTCTCTCTGTAACTATGCCTTTCAAGCAAACAAAATAAAACTTAAAAAAAAATCTAGACTGAGAAATTCTTTTTTTAAAAGATTTTGTTTTGGTTTTGATTTTGGTTTGGTGAAAAGGCAAATTTTTAGAGAAAAGACACTCCTCATATGGTCACAATAGTCACAGTTGTGTTGATATGAGTCTGGAACCAGCAGCTTCTTCCGGGTCTCCCATGTGGGTGCAGGATCTCAAGGCCTTGGGCCATCCTCTGCTGCTTTTCCAGATCACAGGCAGGGAGCTGGATGGGAAGTGGAGCAGCTGGGACACTCACTGGAACCCATGCAGGATACGGGTGCTTGAAGGTGGAGGATTAGCCCCCTGAGCCAATATGCCAGCCCCATATACTGAAAAATTTTATGAAAGAAATGACCCAATTTCTCCATTTCTGTATCTATTCACACACAAATACAGCTAATTTTCAAAAACAGATATTTACTCAAAACTGTCTTTTTATGTATGTACATACATACACACATATGTATGTATTATAGGTATACTTAATATGGCCATATTTGGAAATTTTCTTTTGGAGTTGTTAATTAAGCATGGTTAGAATTTACATGTAGATTTTAAAAAATATTTATGCTCTAGATTTTTAGAAATAGCACAAGATTAAAAGAAACAAAGTGATTATTAGCGTAAGTGTGTACCTTTCACTTAACACATGCACACACACCCTTCTAAGAGAAACATAAAAAAAAGAAGGCGACAGTGAGTCAAGGTGGCATGAATCTTTGGGATGTCTCGGTAACATACTGTCTGAGTTAAGGAAGAATGAGAAACTGCTTGCAAGAGCTCTCAGACAAATGTCAGCAAAAGAGAGTCAATAAAATAAAGCCTTGGATGATCTAAAGCCATTTCATTGGAATGCTTGACATCCACTACTCACTTCCAAAAATCAATTTTCTAAGCAAAAGATAGAGAGGCCTCAAAGATGCAGGGTTCTACTTGACAACAGCTCTTGGTTACCAACATTTTGATGGGATTGCAGCTATATCCATCAAAGTAGATGGATGCTGACAGAAGCAGTGGCGATGGCACCGCCACAATGCCACAGTTAGCTTGGAGGAACGTTTCTGAGCAGGTAGTTTGACAATGATGATGTATCCATCAAAGGTGACTTGGACCAGAGACTTCTCAGAGAAAGGGTAGAGGTGTATTCAACTATTTTGTTACTAAGGGGTGGGGGAGTTGATTCAGTGTGTGTGCTGCCAAGGGAAGAAGCAAGCAGGGTTTCTGAAAGGCAGGCTTGGGTTTGCTCTGAAACAGAGCAAGCTGCCTCTGTTGACATTGAGAAGCTTGAAGACACAGAGCACAGGTGCCTGGCTCTCTGTTACTGAAAGTGCTCAAGCAGCAGGAGGACAGGGTTATTGAAACAGCCTTTTGGGTTCCTTCATTCCCTCTATTCCATTCTCATGTTCCAAAGTGGGATTAGGAGCCAATTCTACAAGCACTTTACTAAGCGATCAGCCGGACAGAGAGCAAAACACAAGGAAACGGGCACCACATGGACACTGCCTTTTTAAAGCACTGCAGGCCGTGGCCCTTCCCAGTTTTTTACCTTGGTACAGCTCACCCCCAACAGTTCCTGCCTCCTGATCCTGTCCTTCCACGCAGCCCCAGCAAAGCTGCCTCAGTTCCCAGCCACTCAGGCAGGCCCTCTGCTGTGCCAGCTATGACAGGGCCTCTACTGGTAAAGGCTGCTTGCAAATTTCATCCACAGTTAGCTTGTGCCTGTATTCAAAAAGAGCCAGTTTCTTTCTCAGTACTCCTTGTCATGCTAGACATTCTGGTAGGAAACCAGGAGCCAGGACAATGCATACAGCAGACTCAGGGGCACAGTGCCACTTCTCACCAGTTAATGTTCCTTGACCAGCGAGTACCATGGGACTGTGTGAGTATCTCAGGGTAGAAGCGATAAGAGGTAAAACTAGACCCAGGGGACCCTGCTTCTTGCTGATGAATCTTAGCAAAGTGGTGCCTCTCACCAGGTCCACTGTTTCTCACTGGACCCCATAAGGAACATTGCAAGCATACTCTCAGCTATGAAAAAAAAATAGTGAAATAGCACCAGCATGAGATGATTTCTTCAGATGAGAGCAAAGCAGGGTGAGGTCATTCCAGGAAAAGTCCAGCTGCAGAAAACTGTCATGAAAAGTTCTGTCTCTGAATAGAAAGGAAAGTATGACTGTAAGAGTTCCCAAGAGGGGGGGCTGAGGAGGCTGAAAAGAGATCCTCTGCTTTCTTCACTGTACTTTGCAATAGTTTGAGATTCCCTTTTTCCATAGGCACAGGCTTCTTAATATTAATAAAGACACATCATCATTTTGTTAAAAGCAAGACACACCCATCAACAGAATGGCATTGGGCTTATTTATTTTTAACGATATACATATTTACTTGAAGACAGAGTGACACAGTGAGGGAGAGATAGAGCGATCTCATCCATTGCTTTACTTGCCAAATGGCCACTAAAGCCAGAGCAAGGCCAGGCTGAAGCCAGGAGCCCACGATCCTGGGCTGTCATCTGCTGCTTCCAGATGCATCATCAGGAGGTTAGATTGGAGGTGCAGAGCAGCAAGACACCCTTAGGGGAGGTGAGCACGCCTTGTGCAGCTTACCATGTGTTAGAATGTCCACTCTGAAATCAAGCTTACATGGTCAATTGTAAGACTGCTGTTCCTCTTCCAATAAAAAATAAGTAAATCTTTTTTAAGACTGCTAGACTGCTGTTCCTCTCACCAGATAAGTTTGGGGTTGTTTGTAAAAAAAAAAACTTTTGGCATTGGCCAAGTTTTTTAGAAATATTTTATTATTTTCACTTATTTGAGAGATGGATATGTAGTTCCCATATGCTGGTTCATTTCCTAAATGCCCGGCAAGAGTGCTGAGCCAGGGACCAAAAGCAGGAGGCAGGAATTTAATCCAGGATTGCCTAGTGGGAGACTAGAAACAAATTCCTTGAACCATCACTTGCCGCTTCTCATGGCCTGCATGAGCAGGAAGCTGAAATGGGAGCAGAGCCAGGACTCAAACCCAGGCACTCTGAGATGGAATACAGGCTTCCCAAGTGGTGGCTTAACTGCTACAATGAACACTTGCCTCAAGAGCTGGCTACATTTTTTTTTAACTTGTGCTACCTATTTTCCTGGTGTGTTTGAAAACACATTTATCAATGTTCTTAGAAGCAGCTGTTCACAAACAGGATCAAAGAAACGCAAACCACATTTCTAATCAATTTATTTTATCCTTTCTAGATCTCATTGGCCTGCCGTGGGTGTGCTTTATATATACAATCATGAGTCTGGCATCCCTGGCTTTTGTTGTCATGTTTATCCCTCAGACGAAGGGACGCTCTTTGGAACAAATATCAGTGGAGCTAGCAAAAGCGTAAGTATTATGTGCACCAATCTCTGAACAACAGCTGTTGGCCAAAATGGCAGTTTTTCTCAACACTTAAGCACCGAGACCTGAAATTGTTAGGGTGCCTTTTACTGTAACAGCATGTACCAATACTTAATTGCAGTTTCCAGTAAGGGACTGAAGAAATAATGCTTCCAATTAGTGAGCCTTCTGAAGCTGTTTCAGCAATAGGCCTGGCACCTCTCCCTTCTCTCTAGGAAGTTTGCCTTCTCTGGGGTTTCCTATAGGTTCTGGAATCCCTCATACACCATGCACATCAGCCCTTCCGTCTCTATCAGACTTATGGGTCTTTGAGCTTTGAGTACCCGGTAAGGCCACAATAAAGAGAAAAACCTCCAGGACAAAATGTCCACTATTACTTTTGATATGTTTGAGTTAACGCAATTTTAAGAAAGATTTAAAATTTTCATATATGAACAGGCATTTAGAAAAGTGATTAAGTCAACTTTACTTGGAAAGATTATTGAAGCAATTTGATTTAGAAGCAGGTCCTGTTAGGCACAGTACACTGTTAACTCATGGTGACAGTTTCTACAAACGATGGCCTGGGGAAAGAGCAGAAGGAACTGGAAATGAAGACAGACTTACCAAACTTCGTGGGATGAGATCATTGCCCTTGCGAAGTGTATGATGCTTGATGCTTATTCTTGGGTTTCTTGGGTTTTACTATAATAAAATGAATGTATTTTTTTTTTTGCTAATTTTTCAAGATTTATTTTGCTTATTTTGAAAGGCAGGGAGACAGAGAGAGGTCTTCTGTCCACTGGTTCACTCCCTAAATGGCTATAATAGCCAGAGCTGGCTCAGATTGAAGTCTCCCATATGATTGAGGGGCACAAACATTTGGCCATCTCGTGCTGCTTTTTCAGGCATGTTAGCAGGGAGCTGAATGGGAAGTGGAGCAATCAGGACTAAAATCTGTTCATATGAGATGCCGGCTCTACAGGGGGCAGCTTAACTGGTAAGCCGCAGTACTGGCCCTGGAATGTAGGTTTTTACAACTTTCAAATTTCTTTTAAAAATATTTTTGAGGAAGACATTGTGGTACAGTGGGTTAACTCACCATTTATAATATTCTGCATCCCATATTGAAGTGCCTTGTTCAAGACTTGGCTACCTGCCTCCTATCCAAGTTTCTGCAAATGCATGTGGGCAGGTGGTGGATGGTGGTTCAAGTGCTTGGATTCCTGCCACCTATGTGAGAGATCCGGATGGAGTTCTTGGTTTTGGCTTGCTCCAGTCCCAGTTGTGGGCTTTTGGGAAATGAGTCAATGGATTAAGGATTCTCTCTCTCTCTCTTGTGAGTGCGTGCACTTTTGCTCTCATTCTGCTCTTCAATAAGTAATCTAAAAGTATAAACACTTTGAAAACACTAGAAATAAATGGTTATAAAAATGGTGGACACTCTGATTCTACAGCTTTTATCTGAAGGAAGAATAAACTTGATAAGTGAATTGATGGTACACACACATGTATGTGTATATATATGTAGTTCAAGGTTTTGATTCTGGTATAATAGGGATGTAGAAAGTAGGAGTGTGAAAAGTTTCACTCTGTGCCCTTTGCACATTCAAATGGTGGAAAGTTTTTGTATGTTTTACTTTATTAAGCAGGAAAGAGTTCTCTTAAATGAAACCATAAGTTAAATATCAAATTGTATGGTTAAAATTTGATTCAGAAAATCCCTTGCTTGTAAAAGAAGAACATGAAAATAACTCATTTACAAGGAGAGAAAGAATTGTCAGAAAGACTGGATGTGCCCTTGGCCTGACCAGTGAATTATTACCCGTCCTTACGTAAGTGGAAATCAGGTAGTTGGATTTCTTGGCTGAGCTTTTCTGGACAAGAATCAGGCTCTTGCTTACAACCAGTTGATTTGGATGACAAATGGCTTTAGATCTGGATAATTCAATACATCCATTGGGAGGCTGAAAACATTCCTAAGATCCCAGCCATTCTGGAACCAACAAGGCAGCACCTGGTGGCTTCAGATTCTCTTGGTCTGCCTTCATTTCCCATTCCTCCCTGCACCTGCATTGTAGCAATTATCTATTGCTGCCTAATAAACAGCCCTGGTGGACAGGTTTGAAACACCGACCCTTTACCATTTCCACAACTCATATTCCAGGTTGTTGGTACCTCTGCTCCATTCACCTGGACCTGGCTGCATGGGCTGGTTGGGCAACCGGACTGAAGGGCCTATGGTGACAAAGGATCTGACCACAAAATGGTGGTATGTCCAGTGGATAGTGGGGCTTCCAATCTCCTCCATGCTTTGGAAGGCTGGAGAACAATGCTCACACATCTGATGTGTGGTACTGTTCCAGGGCCATGCAAGCAGAAACTGCCAGGCCTTCTGAACGATACATTCTAGAATTCACACAAGATCACTGCCACTCACTGCTTTCTCTTCCAGCCCCAGGTCCACAGCCAGTTCAGAGCCAAGGGTCATAGAAATAAACTTTGTCTCTTGGGGAAATAGGGGCAGAAAGTTTCAACAGCCCTTAAACAACCTATTCTTTCTGGAAATTCTTTTAGTCTCTACAAAATCATAGTACTTGCGTCTCCTACCTCACTGATTTTTACCTCCTTATTTCTATCAGAGTATGAGTTAGAAAGTACACAGAGGAGCTGACATTGTGGCACAATGAACTGAGCTTTTGCCTGTGAAGCCAGTGCTCCAGTTTGGATCCAGCCCCCAGGTTATACACCTTGGAAATCAACAGAAGTTGGTTCAAGTCCTTGGGTCCCTGGCACCCACCTGAGAGAACCTGATGAGATTCGAGGCTCCTGGTTTTAGCCTGGCCCAGCCCCAGCCCCAGGCATAGCACCCTTGGGAAGTGAACTAGTAGATGAAAGATCTGTCTGTTTGTGTATCTCATTCCCTCTCTGTCACTCAACCTTTCAAATAAATAGAATATATCTTTTAAAAAATAATAAAATTCATGGAACTAAAAGATAAATTTATTTAGAAGCAAAATATTTTGAAATTCATGTTTGGTTTTTTCTTTTAAAATTTCTTTATCTTTATTGGAAAGGCAGACTTACAAAGAGAAGGAGAGACAAGGGGAGATTTTCTGTCCACTAGTTCAACCCCCAAGTGACTGCTACAGCTGGAGCTGAGCCAGGAGCCAGGAACTTCTTCCGGGTCTCCCACATGGGTGTAGGGAGAGCCATCCTCCTGTGCTTTCCCAAGCCATAAACAGGTAGCAGGATGGGAAGTCAAACAGCCAGAATTCAAACCAAAACCCATTTGAAATGCTGGTTCTACAAGGTGGGTGTTTAGCCTTTTGAGGCACTGGGCCTGATCTTTCATAGTATGCATCAGCCATGAACTTTTTAAGGTTCTCTCAAATGGATGGATTTCAATTTTTGCCACACAGAAACTAAGTGTGCAAGAATTTTTTGAGGTGCCCTCAGCATCTCAGCTGCCTTTGGAAACTTGGCCCTACATCATATGCCTTAAGAGTCATGTCAAGTCCTCGAATCCCAGAGTAAGTCTAATCCTAGAAAGCAACCTCTCTCTTGTATTTTGAATAGTCACCAATCTCATTGTCTTCTACACTGCCTTAGCTAATACCCACATGCTTTCACTTCCTGAACTAAGTGATGATGTTTCCAAAAGGGCTCTCTGCCACTACCTTTTACGTGACGTCTACAGTACCCAGCTTCATACTAATTCCTAGCAGATGGCTCCAAAGTATCTGCTGACTGATTTGCTAACCTGTGGAAAAGGCTGATGCGGAACTGATGCTGAATTATCACGTCCAGGCATTGGATCTGAGGGAGAAAAACCTCATGTCCTGCGTAACCACCAACAGGATAAATTGCACAGGTTCTGATCCATAGGCCACCAGATGTAATTTAATCCATGAATTAAACATGAGGAAGTGGAGGCGTGTGTGACTTGAGGTCATACTAGATCACGCCTTCCCCACTATTGTGGGTTTATTTATTCAACCCTTTGTTGACATCTACTATGTGATAGATTCTGGAGTAGGGAAGAACTGAAAACACAGGTGACAAACAATTAAAAAACCTGGTTTCCTTCATTTGAGGAAGTAGAACAAGTCAAACCAGTACAATACATTGTTGCACAGCTTGCCTGTTTTGGAAGGGTTCATTCTGCAACAGCTCCTGAAGGAGATAATATCGGAGACTGTTTGTGCTTTAGAAGTTGTCTGGGGAAGCAAGGTATGTAGGGGGGAGGGGGGTAGTGTCAGAGGAGAGGAACCTCTAACAGCCAGGACACTCCATGGTGTGGTATGACACTAAGGATTCTTGTCTGAGGACTGAGAAAAGCCTAGGGCAAAAGGCTGTCATTAAGGGTCCTGTCTGGCTTGACAGGGAATTCAGATCTTGCACTGAAGTCAGGGAGTGTATTTCAAGTAACAGCGCAGGACTACAAAATGACCAGAGTTCAGAAGAAATGCTCTGGCAAAACAAGAAAATAGAGGCGCTACACAAGAAACTCATGAGGAAGCCATTAGAGGAATTTGACAGGAAGCTGGGAAGCCGAACGTGGTACTGGGATAGAATTCAGAACACTTGGAACTTCACTGGAAAATTCAGCTGTGAGAACAAGGGGTACAGACCGTGTTTGAAGCTTAGAAACCAATGCTGTGTACAACAGTACCATCCACCGGAGTTAGGAAAAAGAGCAGAGTGTCTCAGGGTACTGGGGATGCAGATGGGCTTGGTTTGTGCAGATCCTGTTTGAGATGCCGATGGATGTGCAAGTGGAAGGAGAAAATAAGACAAGCGTTCGTTGGGGCTTGGAACTTAGAAGGTGATTTTATTTAGGAGATGGAGATTTGGTGTTCAACTCGTGGGCATGTGAGGTAGATGCAAGGGCATGTTCATATCTTAGGGAGACTAAGCTGCGGAGGGTCCTGTTTCAGAAAAACTAATGGAAACTCTACAAGCAGAATTGGACATGACACACGGGTGTTGGAGGAGTTGTGCAG